GCTATGTGGTGCAGTATAGAATCTAACCTATATCCAAGTATTTCATACAGTTACTTTACAGAAAACTTCAGCATAGATACCAGCCATTCATTTTCCATTCCCATTTCTAAAAGCATTACTGTATTTTTTAAAATAAATTAAATAGTTGTAAAAATTCTGAAATGGATTGTATTGTAATTTAGTCTACTGGGTTGAAATTTGGTCTTGTTTTAAAAATTTGCATGAAAACCAAATCACTCTAAATATAAGATCTATAGATGTCATACAAACAAATATTTGAAAGCTTTTGATAACTTACCATTTAAAAGTTTTAACAATCTTTACAGAGAAAGTAAATCCTTCAAATTTTCCCACCACTTTTTCTGGATATTTCTAGTACTTAGTATCTCATGGGTTTGAATTTTTTTTAAGGTTTTACATTGTAATTTGGAAAGCAAGCAGTCTTGCTTTGAGACCGAGTTGAATATTTAATAGTATAAATGTAGTGTTTAGTGTAAAATTCTTCAAGAGGGGCTGTTGTGAAGTGCTGGTGTGATGCCTCCCGTGCATCTGCAGGTCACCCCAAGAAGAATGGGGGAACTGCAGCACTCTGGTAGGGTGGATGCCCTCTCTCAGAAAAAAGTTCAAATGCTGTGCTGTACTGAAGCTCAGGGATCATAACTCTTCCCATTATGAAATGTTTATACTTCACTGTAGATGTTATAAAAAGCTCCCTAATGGTGTAATATATAAAAAGAATACTGGAAACAGTCAGACAGTTCTAATAAGGTTATGTACAAATGAAACCTGTCCACATTTATTGCCTTTACCAAACAGCATGTGGGGAACTGGGAGTACTTAACCAGAAGAAGTTTTCTTGATTGAAAACTGCTTTTTCAGCTTGCATATCTCCTCCTCCCTCTCCCTCCTCTCAATGGAAAAAACAACAGCCCTGAAGGAAATAAAGAAATATATCCTCTCTTGAGGCCTCGCCCCCGTCCCTGTGCAATCCTTCTACAGTTCCCAGCAGCAACTTCTGCTTCCTGCAGCCTGAATAAACTCTGTTTAAAAAAAAAAAAATTAATTGAGCTTAAAAGCATTACTTCTCTGTGTGGTAATGAATTGAGTGTGGCAATATACTGCATTACAGTTTTGTCCTTGGCATACCACCATCTGGAACAGCTCTCTGCAACTCTCATTGAGTACGTCAGGGAGCCAATGATCTGTTGTACAAAACTGAACAAAATACCACTCTTGCTTTGCAAGGATCCTCAGAAAGGTTTCCTACAGATTTTTCTTTGAATAGTTTTCATTTTCATGCTTTTTTGGAAAGTTGAAGTGCAGCTTGCCAAGTTCTAACAAGGAAGACCAGAAAAAAGTAAAC